TATAATTGGCATATTGTTTTTGCTTGGCTCTAGCACATTCTTTTACAAGAATTTTAGTATTTAGTATTAGCATTTTAGTATTTTTATTATCCTTACGTATTTTCAGATGAACATATATATTTACAAAATACTATGTTTTTAAAGAAATCAGATGTTCCTTGTTAGTACTATATGTTCTTTCTTCGAATTGATGTCTAAAACGAGACGGCACGGAAGATTTTATTTATAATTGCTGCGAATCACGGATAGATTTAGTTAAGTAAAATAAGCGTCCTTCTAACGCTTACATTATTTTTTTCCTTTTTATTGCAAATTTAATGACACGGTAGATCTTATCTGAATTCGGTATGCAAGATTGAAGTTAAAAGAATGCGTGGAGAAGTTAAAAGAAACTTAAATAGTTATATTAAAAGTTTAAAAGTGCATATAGATGTTTCATGTTATTCTTAATTTTTTTAAGTTTTGACATTCGTAATTGTATTTCTGCCATATTTGTCTATCTTAACCAATCTTTCATAATTCCAATCTGAGAGAATTTAATCACAGATTTCTAAATTATAGTAAATGAAATAACAGCATTCAGAACATATTTGTTGCTCATGGAGTAATTGCGCAAATTACTACGACCACTTAATACGGTTGCTTCATGTTTATTTTAAATAAATAATTTAATATCACCATTGGCTTTTACATGTATTATTTTTATAACGTACATGTAAGGAATCATCAGCTAGTACCATAGAATTTCTTGCTAAATGCTGCGACCTTTTTATTTTATCTATGAAGATTCGAAGAAAAACATTTAATGTACATATCTGATATTGCTCTGTTGTCTTAATTATCATTCGGAAGACATATAGAACAATTCGTAATTCGTTAAGTGAGTTTTTACTTTTATGATAATTCAAATTTTATAATATCATTTTATATATTAATATAGATAGCACTTAATTAATAAATTAAAATTTAATTATTAAATTTTATATCACACAATTCATATGTATGATCACAATAGATAATTATACCCAATTTAATATCACAAATGAAGCTAGACTTAGATCTCTCCTTTTTCTCTAAAGAAGAAACTAAAAAATTAAAACAAGTTTCTTCTCTTTCAGATTTTCTAATTTTAGCAACGATCTTAATACCTGAAACATCTTCTCTAGCTAATTAATAGAGTGCAAAATTAATTAACTCATGGGTATTATTTTTAAAATTTCGGATCTGATAAGTAATTGTTATTATAAAGCGTAAGTATCCCAATTTCACTTTTAAATTAGTTAATTTATTCTAAATTAATAACAAATTAACTGAGCCGGCAATAAAACGTATATGATCTTCAGAATAGACAAAATATGCAATATGAAGAATTTTTACCCCTTAACATATGAGTAAGGAATTTTAATTGGCTTAAGTAAAGATAAAAGCGTGATTTTATACTTTCTCCTACATAGGAATATTAAGAATGTGATGTTATTATATGTATTTTTGTAATATGTGAAATAAGTCTGGATATTGTGCATTTTTTATGATTTGATATTGAAGAGATGTAGTTTATTTCTTTGTTGAATTGTAAATGGTAATTCATTTTCTGCGAAAGTGTGTAATAACAGTTAAATTTAACCTAAGTTTCTCTATTTTGTATATGAAATATTAACTTTCAACTTTTTGACGGTGACTGAAAATAGTAAGTTCATTTCTGAATTTCTAAAGAGAAGTCAAGACTCCAGTGCTCTGCAGAAATGAATTTGAAGCTTGAAGTTTTGAAATTACAGACGTTAAATGTAGTTTGCATTGTAAGTCATGATATCGCGTCTATTTCTTTAGAAGCTGTTACGGCCCATATTCATTCCTTGCTATCAAGTAAGAATGTTGTACGATTTATCTAAAACCTTGTTATTTTTTGTGTAGAAATTTCAGTCCAAATAAAAATTTTTAATTCATCTATTATGTAGTATATGCATTTAATTATTCTATTTCGAAGATAATCTTTTGCATTGTATATCATTGCATTCATTCATTCATGCGCTTGATACTTTGTATTGTGGAACTAATATTAATGTGGTACAGTGATTCCTCGTTTTTCGCGGTTAATGAAGACAAGAACGTTCCACGAAAGCTGAAAAACAGCGAAGTAGGATTTGCGCCTAGGAATTTTCGTGTATGCGGGTACAAGAATGTTTTAAGTATCTAAACAGTATTTATACTTTACACATTTAAGACAAAAATTACAACAGTATACGTATTTACTTAAACGTGTCAGCGCTAATTAATAAGGTTAATTACAAAACCTTATACAATAATAAACATTAATCAACATTGCTTTCTGAGAGAGGCCAAGAGTCTTGTGTTGGTGCCTGAGGAGAGGCTTTCACTTGACTCGTAGATGCTTTAGGCTCACTTGGAAACTCTTCTACTGGAGGCGCTGACGGTAGAGCCGGGGGCTTTACTTTGGAGAGAAACATGGTGATGGGTAGTTGTTGCCTTTGTTTTTTCTTTTCCTTCAAAATTCCCCTGTACAAGGACATAACCCCGTTAACGCGATTGCTGATCTCGACAGCTCGAACCATATTGTGGTCATTTTATTATGGAAATTGTAGCATTGCTTTTGCCATGTTGCACAATTGTTGCAGATTCTCCAGGGTAAGGCCACGCATTTAAGTTTCCTCTTCCGTCTTCCTCTTCGGTTTCTTCCTCACTTGCAGACTTTGTCATGTCAAGGAGCTCTTCATCGGTCCGTGGGTCCGAGTGGCAATCGATAAGGACGTTGATGTCTTCTTTTGTCACGTCAACAAATCCTTCATTCCTTATGATGCGAGCCAGCCTCATCGCCTTCTCCATCGATGAACTTCTTCAGGAGTGAAGCCTGGATAGTCGTGCACCAGGTTCGGTCATACTTTCTACCAGCTAGAATTTATGGTCTCACTCTTCATGTCCTTTAATGCTTGCTGAATATTAGACAAACATGAGGCAATGTCGTAACTGCGCCAGTATGCTTTCAAGGTGAATTCGCCATTGGCATCGTCAACTGCCGATATGAGGCCCAGAAACTCTATCTGCAAACCGTCATATTGCAGGCCCGTTGTATGGCCTCCTGCACAATCCATCAGGAGAAGGACCTTAAAAGGGAGGCCCTTTTCTGCCAGATACAGCTTCACCTGGGGATTGAAGCAATGGAGGAACCATTCAAGGGTCAGAGCTTTCGTTATCCAGGCCTTGGAGTTATGCATCCAGAACACAGGCAACAGAGAAGTATTTTTGTTTTTTAATATCCGTGGATTTTTGGCTTTATAAATAAGACCTGGCTTAAGCATAAAAAATGCAGCATTGCCAGCCATGATGACAGTCACACGGTCTTTGTGAGCCTTGAATCCTTGCCTCTTCACTTCGTCCTTGAAGAGTATGGGTACAATGGTCTTTTGAAAATGGCGAAGGCCTCAATGACAATATTAATTCAAAATACAAACGTACAGAAAACTTTCAATAATTAAATTTGGTTGTTAGAGGATGTTAGCGAAAAAAAGCTTATAAATATAAGAATTTATACTCCTTAACCCATTATCTCGTTATTTTATTTTTTACTGTTACTTCTGATTTCATCTACTTCCATTCGCACGCAAATTTGTTTAGGTACATAAGAAAGTGTTCTTGAAATTAAGAGAGAGTTTTTGACAACGATCGTTGACCTTTATCTGAACTATTTATATTTAGTTTATAAGTTACCTGGATCTGCTTTAGCCTTTTGCTTATCGTGATTGCTCGTTTGATTAGAGGCCCTGCACCGAAGCTAACAGTACGACTTTGCTGTATGAATTACATGCTTTGATTACTTAAGCTTTGCTCTGACGTGTGTGTTTCATGAAATTTCGCGAACAGAGGTGGCTTATTTTGTAATGCAAGAGCTATAAGAGCAGTAGTTTTTAAGTCATATTAAAAACTGTTTATTTTAAACCTTCTTCTAGTTTCTAGTTATTTCTATGAAAAACTGCGACAGGTAATAAGTCTCCTCACTTTCTACAGGAAGCCAGAATTTCGATTTGAAGTGCCTATAAATTTCGTGTGAAGTAACATCATCCGGGACAGTGTAGTAGGCATTTTAATGCAAATTGAGTCAAAACATCTTTTTGCTGATGATTATTTTCAGCAAAGCGGATTGGGTGTTTGTGATCAGAAACAGACCCCCCCAGAATGTACTTCCGCTCTTGTTACATCACACTTACATTTACCAAATTCTCATAAGTTAACCTCACTGAAAGAAGCTTCCTAACAGTGCCTTCGGAATGTCCAGAGAGCCATACTAAATGTATTCAGTGCAATGGATTTCACTTTGATGACGACTAAATAATGCCTTTTATATCTCACAGAGAATAAAGCTACAAGTATTTTTGAGAATTGTTTGAACACAGAAGCTAATTTAATATTGCATTTAGTTTTCAAATTAGATCTGAGTACTGGAAAACCTAAATTTACTGCTTAAAATGAGGCATTAATTCCACAATTTGCAGAGAATTAGAATATCAGAAATTCTGAAGTTGTATTAGAAATTTCTGCAATCTTAGACGAATGCTATATTCAACTAATTTGCTGGTGTCTATTCAAAACATTTCTACATCAGATATAGTTGCGCTTTCTTTAGGCAAATGATTTTATATTTTTAAGTTTTTTCTCCGTTTATCATACCAATGTTCAGTTTTCGTAGTAAGATGAAACTTTAAACAAAAACTTTCTCCTTTTGTATTATTAACATTTTTTGTGTTAACTTTATTAATTAAATATCGCGTACTTTGCACGTACGCCACATTCAAAAATATTCAGAAAATATTAGAATTAGCATATGTTTAGAATCTCCAAGAGACAGTCTCGCGCATTGGAGATAAAAATGTTTTATTCCCTACAATGTTGAAACTGATAGCTTTTAAGTCATTGAGTGCTTTCATTAAACTTTTATAAAATATGAAATAAATAATAAACGAATATATGTAGGATGAGGTTAGGCTTAATAACGAAGAAGGTATCTGCATTTAGTAGAATTAATAAAATAATAAACATGAAGATGATATGTACAGAATGAAAGGAAGTAAGATGAAAATAAGGTTCAGTCCATCATAAAACAGAATAGCACCACGTCATCAAAAGAACAGTCACAGCCCTTCTGTTTCAAGCACATCGAGCTGCATCATCGATGATTCCGTCGCGGCATCCCAACTTCATCTGCCGGAATCCTCTCAGTTTCCTCACTCAGCTTGAAGAATCATCTAACCGTTGTGGACGTTGCCAGATTGCTTGTAGGAAAGAGCGGATGACCATATATATCTATATTCTATGAAAATATTGAATATTTTTAATACGGTAGGTCATGAATTAAATACAGTTTTATTATTCAAATAAATATGGTTCAAAAGTTAAGAAACGAGTATTCTTAAGAACTGCATGTATTGCTTTCAAATAGCTTAGTCAAATAGCTTATTCAAATAGCTTAGTTTCAAATAGCTTAGTCCACAATAGACAAATTCAATGTGAAAAATAAATACCTTACATTATCCCAGTTCTGTTCATCACTTCATGGTAGGTCAAATTCCACCGAATATTGGCTTTCTTTATTTGATTATAGCACTAGGGCTATCTGCCTATGGAGAAGAATGACTTCTTGAAAGACATTTTAAGGGAAACTGACTCGTATCTACGGTACACATAAGGAAATCCACGGAAACATCCAGGCAGTCAGTCCGTTCGTCTATACTAGACTTAGTTCGAACTACCTGTATTCAGAGATTTTACCACTTGGCCGCTCGTGAGCATAGCATCCCAATGTATTGGGCGAGTAAGTTAATAAGTATTGCAATATATATTAAGTTTTTTTAATCAGACCTTCCTGAATTGTTCTCACTCTTTTGCCTCAGCAGCGCTTCAAAAAACGCCGGCAGACCAAAAATATCACCACCAGGTATTGGACAAATATTCACCCTAAAAAAAAACCCTTATTTTGCCAACTTGAGCATGCGTGGCAAGCTATGGGAGGTCGTGTCCTCTTATAACTAAGGAGACGCATGATGTTTCTCATTTCCAAAAAGAGGGCAAAGATCTTGCCAATTATTTTATCATTTTGGAATGCAGTTTGCGTGGGAACCACGATCAATACATATTTGAAGAACAAATTAACTAAAGGCTGTTGGTCTCAAGTTATAAAAATTTCCTTCAAAACTTATACAATTGAATATAAATTGAAAATAATTTTATATGTTTTCTATTAAATTATTTTTTAAAATTTTTTCAGTTTAAATTTGAGCAGTAAGAAAGTACAGTCTGCTGACAAGATTAGTCAATAACAAATGTTCTTTATGAAATAGGAAGAGAGTAGTTTTACAAACCAAGTACATTAATTTAAGAAAGCGCAAAATAAACTACAATTACATAATTAAAAAGATCCATTATTGAATAGCCCTAGGGATATAATCTAATGATAAAAATACATCCTAAATTGGTTTTCTTAATCAAGTTAAGTACCCAAAAGTCATTACAATGGTTATCCTTAAATAAAGCAACTGAACTTTAAAATTTGATAAGATTAATAAATATAGCAATGAATTGAGATTAAGATTAAAAGCAAATTAGTATGTCCAATAATGTTCAAAAATTCTGGATCAGGCTTTTTTCAAACAATATCGAGCCCGCCAGTGTCCGAGCTGTAAAGTCGCTGAATATGGTAGTTCGGTCTGAGGTTCGAATCCCGCAAATGATCAGGCTACATGGGCGTTTTCGTGGTTTTCCCCAAGTGTAACATGTGCAAGAGTCAGTTTCCCTTAGAAAGTCCTCCACGAAGACATCCCTTCCGTTAGGGAGATAAAAATCGAGGTTTTGCCATAATCACACAAATCAAACTTAATCAAACAGTATCAGTTTGTCAAAAAAGTATTCATCAATTGTGGCTACAGTGAGATGTTTTGAAGATAAGAGAAATTCGTTATCAGAGTCTAATGAGAATGAATGAATTTTTAAGATTAAATTTAATTTTAAATTGAGAATTAATTTTATTCGTTTTTTCAAAGAATAAAGATGTATACTTTTGTAAATTCCTTTTGGAGATAACAATCTATAATAACATAAAATATATTTATAGTTAAATCATACACTTCAAAATAAAATTAAGATATCGTAATTTCATAATAGATAGTTGTAGGTAGTTCAGAATAGTTATTTGTGCCCTAGAAGGAAATTTTCCCCATTGCTTAGCTACAAAAATATATCCGAATTACAAAAACTGCATTAAGAAAAAGGCCCTGAAACTTCAAATATTCTCCTAAAACACGCAAATGATTAAATACGAAAAGCCTTCTTTGAGTTAGCCAAAAAAGTAAAAAGCTCCAGTCGGTAATAAAAAGTTCGTATTAAAAAAATACTTGTTCTTTTATCGCATGCATCACTTTGCCGAATATTACACACACATACACAGAAGCATACTCTTTGTTATTAACATATTCTTTTAGAGGCGTTCCTTTTCTGCTGTAGTACTGGAATACTGTTAGAACTTCTAATGAAAATATTCTTTCCTTTTAACAGACACCTTTCTTTTCCCGCGCAAAAATTATTTATGCAGTCTTCGGAATTTTTTTTTACTTAAGAGTCAACGTGTTTTATGTCTTTTTATTTTCGATGCTTTAGCGCCTCGGAAAAACGTGTTCTTGCATGTTCTACGATGCGTAATTCGTGTTTTATACTCTCCTGCTTTTTTTTCAACATTCAATGATTGGGAACTTATGAGAGAACTGGAGAAGAAAAAATGAACAATGTTTCGTTCAGTGATTAAATTTTGGAAAAGGAATGCAGGAATGGGAACTTCAATAAACGGCAAAAGTTTAAAGTTCGGAAAAAATTATATTAGCAAAATAATTAGCAGCTGAAATTTCTAATTTGATTTTCCAGGTCTCAATGCGTGACAAGTGTTTTTTTTTTTTTTTTTTTTTTCTTTTTTTAATTTTGCACATGCTGAAAATTTAATATTTAAGGCAATCAAAGATTTTAATTCAAATTTTGAATAATATGATTAACTCTCTTGAGACATCACCAAAATTTGACTATATTTTAGAGGATACATTTCTTTATGTAAAGTATTTATATTAAAATGAGTGCAAATTACTGAGCAAAGGTGATATTTTATTCCTTCATAACAAAAGTTCAGATTAAAAATTTAAGAGATAATTATTTTAAATCTACAAAGAAAAAATCTTTTTAAATACCAAAACTTGTGAATTAAGGAATAAAGAAAAATCGCTTTAATTAAAAATATCCATGTGTATTAAAAATAGATTTTTTAAAATTGCTTATTTTTCTGATAGTGTAAAAGTTAAATGAAGTAATTGTAATCTTTTGTAAGAGTAAAATTATTCAAATTGATAAATCAATGACATTTTCTATTTTCATACGGGTGTATTGAAATGAGGTTTTATACTAAGTAAGCACATCAATATCTAGTATGTTTGGAAAGCTGTGGAAATGTTCATATTAGGCACTGATGGGAAAATAAAACAGTAGTAATTCTCAGAAATGTTCTGTCATTTTCCGTGCAGTATCATTGATATATCGATTATTTATATATAGAAGAACTCACTTTTTTGTTCTATCAGTGTTGATGGTTCGAAAATTTTATTCGTCCTTTCCTCGTGTTTGTTTAGAAAATATATTTTCGCCTCACAATATAAGAACTACACCCAATTTTAATACTCCTCCGACTGCAGTTAATAAACAGAATGCAGTAATCAATGAATTAGTTCCGTGTGCATAAATAAATCACCTGAGGTAATCTAATTGTTTTATTACGTATTTAAAGCAATTGGGAAAGTGTTCATAACAGAAGTATACAAGTAAGGTTCTGATCAAATATTAATATTTAATGTGATACATGGAATTAACGTAAAGTGAAAATACACAGATTGCTGCATCTGGTATGCGGCAATGAATGAAAGTAAGGGCTGGATCCGAATTCGATAACGCTGATATACTACATTCGACGGCTAGTAAAGAAACGGGAATCAGTAAAAAAGACTTCTGTATTAATTTAAAAATAAAGTGTTTTTTATATGAGCCGTAGCATATAACAGTAAACATTTAAATTTAAAATAAATTAACACTATTAAATTAGTTAAAATAAATTAAATTATCTGTCACTTTATATTTTCTCCCTCCTTTCCATCTGCTTCCTATTGTAACTGGATGCATACTCGACGCATATTGAAGAGGTTTCGGGTTCGAATCCCAGCCAGATCATTGTACATTTTTCACGTCTCTTGCTTCCAAATAACCTAATGATTCTACAACATGATGTCGTTTGTATTGTTACATTACTTCTAAAACGTTTCATCTACCTTCAGTTACATATTTTGAGTACATATCTGGAAGTATCCGTTTCTTATTAGCCAAGTTTGTCTAAACATATTTTCAAATAAACTAAAAAGGTTTGAAATGCAAAATAAAGTGTGATTGAAAAGATGTTAAAACAATTAGGCAGACAGTTGCTGTGTGCTTTGCCATAATCAGAATAAACGTAAATTTCAAAACTTAATGTGACATTTTAGTTACTGTCTGCAATTTATATTACTTGCTAATATCATCAGTCTTTACAAACCCATTATACTTTGATAATTTCGATTATGTGATTATTATTAGTTATCATTTTCCCATCCACGATAAAAACAATTATTGTTAAAAACGCATAAGTAATATTAAATACCTCCATGAGAGGTTTCATCCAAGGGCTATCGACTGTTTGCTAGAATCCTTTTTATGGGGACTCCAAGAAGCTCCGTAATCATTGTAAGATTATATCGAAAAACACTGAAGCTGTCTGAAGCTGAAACTTCAGACATTCGCATGTTCTAACTCTCTAACGCTGACTGATAGGTCTCAAATAAGTAATATAATTGTTTTAAGGAAATATAATTTTTGAATTAAAGTAATGACTTTTCATCTGGCGCTTTTTTTGTGTAAATGGGATTACACTACCCCAATTTTACATTTAACATTTGTTTTTCAAAAACAAAATTTAACAATTTTCTTATCGTATACTGTAAATTGAAGCATTTCCCGATGGACTCTTATTTTCTTAGAATGTTTTTTACAATAGTTAATTTTGCTCATCGCAGACATATTTGATTAATAAAATACTTTTGTAACTGTAACTTCAATTTATTGATGTCTACAAATTCTATGCTACTTTCAAATTAAAACTGCAATACTTCCTCTTTTCCTAATAAATTTTAAATATTATCAAAACAAAAGTTAGCTTTGTCTATAAGGAGACTTACCAGATTCGAGAAGCTTTGAAGAGCTATAAATAATAAATTTCAGCACGGTACGGAACTTATGATAGGTTTAAAACCAATCTGGGATGTGGATTTACCGAAACATAGCGATGAGAAATCTGAAAGAAACTAAACAATTGTTTAAAGATTAGATATTATTTAAAGAGGCCCATTTAATTTCAGCTTTCGTTCTAAACACTTAATTTCGCGAATAAAACAGAATTCCGAGAATTAATCTAAAAGAACTCAAACAAATCGCTAGAAATTTAGTTATCATTTAGAAGGTACTATTCAATGTTGAGCTTCCATTTCAAATATTATATTGAGTTACTTGGAAAGAAAAAACAGAAAACAGCTTTTTAAAAGAGTTGAAATTGAAAATAAAGGAAATCCTTTATTTACAAGTTAAGGGGTTTCAGAATTAAGATTTATGTTATCTTAGGAAAATATTATTCAAAACTTTTAAGTAATTATTTTGAATCAAACGCAGTCAAGAATTTAAATCGGTAACTTTGTCTACAGTAAAAATAATTCAAAATGATTTTTGAAGCCCTAATAATGATTGATCCGCCTGTTTTTAGGTATAATTTTTTCATCTGTAATTGTTGCTGTCAATCATTTACTCCGAAAAATTCAGATAACATTTAAATAAAATCAAAGCAGTTTTCAGTAAAACTGTAATTACCAATTTATGTTTTTAATATTACATTAGTGCTAGAAAAGTCCATAGTTTATGAAGGAAACACAAGGTATTCCTAAGTGATACTTTAGAGTAGAATATTTCAAGAAAACGTTGTAGGTTATGCCACAACTAGAAACCTGTATTTAAAGACCCTAGAATCCTGTATTTAAGTCCTGCAGACCCTACTAGACTGCTAATGAGTTATCCCTCAAACTCAAGAAAATTACAAATACTTATTCAGGTTAAAATAATCTTTTTATTTAGCCTTAAACTGAAAATGCACAGCTTGTGCTATAACAAAATTCCGCCACTTTGCGGCATTTAAATTAACATAACAGAAATTCAAATGCAGATAACGTATTTGGGAATTGCACATAAAACTGACAAATGCATTGGTTCAGATATTTTAACGGCGCGTATTTTAAAGCACCGGCTAGCACTAACTTTATGCAAAGCTGGTTAGAGTAATTAGCAGCAAGACGCAGATACCAGAAAGTGTAATCTAAACATAGAGAATTCTCAATTTAAATACGACTAAACCTAATTTGCATTCTGGTGAATAGAAAAATGCGGAAAGAAAAATTTATAATGAAGACTTAAATTGTAACAATTGGTTAATTAAAATAAAATATCTTGTAATGAGTGATCTTAAAATGTACGAAAAAGTAATACAAACCATTCGAAAAATTCTGACATAAATAGAATAAATTAAAAATAATATTATTAACATAAATTTGTAGTTGCATGTGCACTTCTGTTAAAATAAAGTTTATACCAAATAATAATTTATTACTCGGAATCATTTATATAACTTGTTTAATAAGGAATCGTTCCTAAAGTGTCACTGCTTATCTCTCCTATTAGTCATACAACATAGGCAAAGAGCAAAAGAGTGTTATAAATAAGAGAAAACAGCACGTCTGTAAAAATATCACGTCTGTTAATCAAATATATTACAAGCATTTAAATAAATGATATAAAATTGTCTATCTTTGATAAATGAAGCCAAGTCTAAACACGTTCCTGCTTCATAAATTACATAGCACAAATTTATTCAAATAATGAAAAATGTTTGGCTAAAGCTCATTCAGTTAAATTCTCGCAATGCAATTTTTCTAGACTGATTTATCAAAACACGAATCGTAAGACAGCATCTAGTATCTCTGAGATGGTAAAGTACCACGAACTCTTTCAATCATATCTAAGGAATAAAAATACGTCAAGAGCGGCTCACATATTTCTCCTCATATATTCCACATAAACAAGAAAATTATTCCACCCACTTCAGTGAAAGGCTTAGATTTTGAATAGCTCCTGTTAAACCAATTTCACGGCTGAGCTAATGTAATAGCCGGGAAAATCTCAATAATGGCAAAAATAAGTACAATAGATTGAAGTTAAGAGAATGCAGCTATCGATTTATTTTTCACTGAGGCTGTGAGCAATTATTACATTGTCTTTTATGTGATTATGGAGCACATGAAGATTTCATCCCTTAAGAAATAAGACGCTTTAGTGAATACCAAGATGACAAGCCATTACCCAAAATGACAAACCAATGAACTAAAACGACAAAAGTATTACTCTCTTATTGAAACTCTGTTACTAAATCTGATTAAAGGCATAAGTCGAATCGCGGAAAGGGTAAAATAGGTTGGTGGTATTGTGGATAGTGGAAGGCGGTTATTACGGCGTGCGGAGAGTTTGTGGTACATATCATAAGAGATATTATAATTCGCCAGATTGAAATTAATTAAATGCACAGTGAATGTAATGCATTCAATCGAATAAAAAATGCATAGTATCAAACATTATAATATAAAATTTCTAAATAAAATACATTGCTGAAAGCATAGAAAAAATTAAAATAACTAAAGCAATTTCAGACTGAAATAAAGATTAAAATAGTTTTAAAAATTAGTGAGGAAAAATAATTTTAAAGACAATAATGAATTGCATCATGACAATAATGAATTGCATCATTACGGTGATCATGAATACCTTAGACGTACAATCCAAGAATTATAATTTAATATTAATTGATGTTAGAACTATTATTAGAATTAATTATTATTAAATCTTGTGACCCAAATATCTCGTAAAATTTGAAAAAAATTAAAATATGGACTGTTCTCAATAAATTTAACTATGGGTGCTTTGAAGCAGTTAAAATCGTTTAGTCTAAAAATCTTAAAATTTGGATAATCACTTAAAATACGGAGCACCGTTAAATGAAAATTAAAATTCGTATACATTTGTACATTTTTGACCTGTTTACCCTAAAGTGACCAATCCACAGTTAGGTCAGTAGAAAATTGCAATCTGCGGTATCATCGATCTAGAACACAAGATGGAAGAAAATATAAAAATACATTAACTTAGCGTAACTGACACTCGATTAAAAACAGAAGATTATTTTAAACTACCAGGAAAAGAATGCTATGGTATTACCTCTATGATGTAGAGTAACTACAATAAAAACTTTAAAAATGCTTGTATATATTAGTCTTATCAAAGCAGTGCTTACGTGTCTGCTGTCATTTTAGTTCTGTAATATCAGTCATATCAGTACATAAATGAATAAAATGTTTCGTATGCAGAAGAGAAAGAAAATCAACTTAAATAAACTGAAATGCTCATATAATTCTACGTATTCCCGTTATACATGTTTCAACCTACTTATTAAAATTCTTTTCAAGTATATTACTGACATATTCTTAATTCAATAATATCACTCAGCGAATTTTATTTCTGTGTTGACATATCTACAATATTTGATTCAATATCTCAGAAACTGTCGCCCAGACGATATAGTAGTCAGGGGAGCATGACTGCGATACCGAAGAGCCCGGGTTCGAATCCCGAAGAAGGCTCTGATAGAGACAGATCGCCAAAGGAAGAACTCCAACGCCCAGCAGCTACTTCTGGGCCACCATAAATATATATTTGTGTCCAAACCTCTGGAGGCGTTCGGAGGGGCGCCAAACCCCCGATCAACCCACGGGGACTTTACATGTTAGACTTAAATTGTCTGTCTCTTCATAGGAGGTGGAGGTGACCGCCTATTAGGTGCCTCCAAAATAAAATGTCTACCAGTTGTGGCCTTCGCAATGGTCAATGCCGTTATAGGCAAGTCCCCGCCATTGGAAAAAAAATCTGAGAGACATCTTTTAATCAGTTTGAATTACTGACAAAGGCGTCATCTTTTAGTTCGCACTGAAATGTTGTGTACTGTGTTATGTTGTGAATAATCTCACTTGTCTGACCTAATCAAAACAAGCCCACAAATTTTATCGTGGCAGTGAGTATAAGACTGCATTTTACGTTGGAAAGAGCCCTAATCACCATATAAGTGACAATATAGTTTTGACCAGTTGACCAGAGTTTTGACGGATAACACCCACGGAGTGGGGCTAGAGTTTCCCACCTTTCTTCGGCTACTAGAAAGCCCCACGAGAGGACTTGACAAGACAATATATCGAGAGGACTTGACACGAGAGGACTTGACAAGAGTCCCATGCCGCAAAAGACACTATACATTTATAACATCCATTCCTTCTCCGGGACTTACACACAGGACGTTTTGTACGATAGTCAGAGTCACTTCTGTACTATAGTTAGAGTCAGTTAGGCGGGTTAAGTAATTCATGGAATTAATGCTAAATATGAAATAAGTAATTTCCTCTGAAGAAGCATACTTAGAAGCGCAACATTTTAAGTAAATGTAATACGCTTTTTAGATTAATTGAAGATTGCATATAAAATTATCTAATTGTTTTTAATGCTCTATACCAGTTTAAGAGAAATCAAATTCAGTGTAATTGATTTCCTAGAATTTTGTAGTTTTGAATATAAAATAAAAATTTTTCTATATTATTATTTTACATATATTAAGCATGGGCTCTCGACCAAACATTTTAACTTATTAAGAAATAAAGTTAGGCCTAAAATAAAAGTACATAAGTAAACGTGCTGTTTTAAATCTTTTCTACCAGAGTCACGATTTTATAATTTGTGAAAAAAAGCAGATCTATCTACAAGTGAGACGTTTATTAGTTAGTGAAAACAGTATCATGCAGTATTTATTTCCCAGGTATCATACAAATTAAGTAAAAGTGAAACAACACTAAACGTCCAAGCCAAACAACGAAGCTGTTTCAATGGCAAAGTTATTTTAGTCATTAGCAGGCAGATTAATAAGCAGAGAAAAATCGGTGTTAATGTTTTACAGTAAAAAGGGAAATTTATATACTAAAGAACATCATCAACCGTAAATGCGATACAGTCGCAGGGCACCTTAGGGATAACTATGAAACGTTTTAAAATCTTCTCACTTCTTAATAACGAATTCCCTGCTACATGAAAAGAATGGACATTGAACTGCAGTGATATCGTGGAAGAAACTATAGAAAGAGATTTCGTTGAAAATTGTCTCTCTTGAGGATAT